CTCATACTCACAATTAGGAAACTTATACAATTTCATTGTAACGTTGTGTCATCTAATGTCTAAAACAATTTATTGAAATTTCCCAAATCAAAAGTAAGTCCTAACATAACTAAGACCAATACATAAATGAAATACCTAAAAGGGAAGTCATCCATTAATTATAAACATTGCACTGCAGGGGTGTGATAATGCCATGCACGACTTGCCCGACTCGTACATTTGACCGACCAGACAAGCAATTTTTTGTGTCTTTGTTGTCCGTGGACAAGTTAAAAAAAAATGTTGCTTGACAAAGTCACATTGTTAATTTATATTATCATATAAAAAAAGTCCTCAAAATTCATCCATAAAAGTAGAAAAAATATAAAATAAGACAAAAGCAACATGTTCTAGCAAAACAACATCAATGATCAAGAAATAGATCTATTACCAAACAACAAAAAATAAGTATGCGGACCCGGGTTTCATTAACATTCTGTAATATTTTCCCGTTGATCAGGTTATAGCAACGGTAAACCGGAAATGATCATTATTAATTTGGAGCACTGATTTCTCAGTCAAGTTGGATAAGCATTGGATAGGTCATCGCTCGGAAGTTGACCAACGGAAAAGGAGGCGCCTCATAAAAAATAAAATTTTGAGCTAAGAACTTAGTTTTGAAATCAGAGGCGACAGAGCGCAAATACAGTCGACTCTCGTTATCTCGAAGTCAGCCGGACCAGAGAAATATTTCGAGATACCCATAGTTCGACTCAAACGAAAACCAGAAGTTTGACAGACCAAGGGATACAACTCTTGCTTAGCTTGGTAAAGCTAAAATAAATCCGGATGAATATGGGAAGGGATCGATATTCTGGTCTCATATCGATGGATTTGTATGTTATGGTCTTTTATTATTATAATAACATTGTTTTCACTTATTTAATTATTTCTTTGAACAGTTACAATTTTTCCCAGTGGCTTTTATCCGAGAGAGTAATTTCCAATCAATCTTAGCGTTATTTAAGTCATTTAAATTTGACAAAATTGTTTATTCTCGGATACAAGAAATTTTAGAAATTAAGATTTATTCTTATTTTCTTTTATCTCAATCTTTCTTTTAAAGAAAAAATACAAAAAGATAAAAGACGCCGATTGAGTAGTTTTTATGTGATCACCAACGGAAGTCTTAATCCCCACTTTATACACATCCAAGCTCATCAGTGCAAATCATGATTAATTTAATTAATTTTTTTTGTAAACATTTTAAATAATTTTTCATAAACTTTAACAATGTATCACTAATTATTTATCATGGTGATAAAAGATAATCTTAGGTAAACACTCGTGGAAATAGAATGTCATAAATCAATACAGTGGTCAGTGACCGGAAATTTAATTACACGTGTATTGTCAGATTAACTCTTCAATCCATTTAAATCCCGGAGGTCATGTTTTGACATATGTGTATTAGCTCGAGATAAATAATGAATTTTGAATGCTTTTGTTAACCTTGGGACCGTAAATTTAGTTCGACTCAACCGAAATTTCGACTCATCCAATTTCGACTCACCAGGAGTCGAAATACATATATTTATATGGAACAAAGTTCGGGACCACGAGAAAACTTCGACTCATCCGAAATTTCGAGTCAACCGAGTTCAAGACAACGAGAGTTAACTGTATTATAAAAATAACAGGAATAGAGGATTTTAAAGTTCTATAATATTTTGATTTCGCTTATGATTAGTTATCTAAAAAAATCTCAAATTTACAATTGGTCCACCAAAAGTTTATTGGGAGGATAAACATAGTATGGGTCCCATACACTTAAGACAGGTGCAGTGTCGGAGTAATGGGATGTCAGAATAATGGCGAGAATGGCCAAGTAGTTACGATTGCGCATTCGAGCTCACCCTTGAGCTTAAATGTTAGGCCCGGTGTTTCTGCCTTGTTTGTGGTAAATCCCTGAGTTCGCCTTCATCAGTGGTCGACTCAATAAGTTGAACATTGGCGTGCTATTTATGCTATTTTGTTTCATTTCGTATGTGATCTTGGACCATACACTAGTTGTCTTTGGATAAAATAGTTGATTTTTTTCGAGCTCAGTATCATATTGTGTTGTGAAAAGTCGAGATGATTATACCAGCTAATGCTTTAATAAAAGTTCTTGTAAGTTCTTATGTCTTTTATAAGCTATAATGGGCTGATGATTAAATATGGTCACAAATTCAGGGTTTTGTGAAATAAGATGCCAGTGTTTCATTATTATATTTTTAGTTTCTGTATAGATGGGTTAAATTTTGTTAAAATTACTAGCGGTTGCTCCCGTATCGCTGGGCGACGTGTTAGCAAGTTTTCCCTTTCTGTATTTTGTGTTTGATAAAAAAAAATCGTTGATTTCAGATATTTGATATCCTCGTTTGAGCTGCTTACTGTTTTTTTTAAGATCAGTTTTGCTGCTTGTGTTTCTGAGATACCTCAATACTTCACCCTTGATAAATCCTTTCTATGAAAACACTTTTTGGGTGTGAGTCATGTCTGTGCAGATATTGATATGTTTCAGTTGGTTTGATATTGATTTTAATGTCTTGTATCATACTATGCTTTCGTTAAAGAATCTTTCGCCTTTGTATAATTATGACAGTGTCTAAGAATATTGTTTCATTACAGGAAAATTCGTAGGTGAACTTCAACTATCATTATCATTTTGTTTCTCTGTGTTGAAAGCATTGTAAAATGTGTTCAAGAATTAACAAACATTGTAAGGTCTGCTAACTCGGCGAATGCTGATCCGCACATAAGCACGCCCAAGGTTTCATGGTAAAGTTTATTGTTAAAAATAAATTCATAGTTTTCTAGAATAAGCCTTAATAGGCGCAGTCATACTCGCTTGGATCACGATTTGTGGCTTCTAGTATTTCCTTAAATGAAAAACAAGTGTACATATTTCTTTGCATCGAATGTTACTAGATAGCAGTCTCGTTGGGGTTTTATATTTTCAATTGAATTAATAAAACTATAGAACTGTGTCTCAATTTATATGTGGTCTACTCTAAGTCACAAAGACATTGATATTTACAAACATTTTCTAGTCTGAAATTGTAAGGTCTTCTAGCATGTCTAGTCATGCATAATACGTTATACAGTATGTTGTTTTAGTATCAATAAAGTTCAATTTGTTGTTTTTCTGTGTTTTCCTGTGTGTTAGATATACTTCAGGGATTTTCTCTAAAAAAAAAAAAAAAAGCCTACCTACCTACCCTGACTTCCAAAATGGTGGGTAGGGTAAGGGGAAACAAAGATATTTTTAATTGCAGCCTTGTACACCAAATTGTCTCAGTACCATCAGAAATACTTAAACCATCCGACAATAGAACCCAGCAAATTCATCCGAAAACCTACTTACATCTAAAGACATTTTTTCCTTTACAATTACACAGTGGAATTTACTACCTCCAAATGTAGAACTTTCCCTACATTAAATATTTTTAGAGAACAGTTGATACCTACTACAACATTAAACCCCCAGGGGAGGTCACTTCCTATAATTGGGTGTAACACAGTGATGTACACCCAATATGGGTCATAATTTTGCGAGATTTTATATAAAAATGACCCTCCTTTTCATAACATACTATATTCATGATATTAAAATGCATTTATGTTTTGATAACTGTATATTGATTTGGGGTATATATGATCTTCATATCATATAAATATGCTGTTCGGAATCTTAAATTATCATTGGTCAATATTATATTAAATTAAACCAATTCATTTGAAAGTTCACCTTTCAAATAAGTCCCCAAAATGAAATCCCGGATTCATTTGTCTCCCGATTTGTATATAAGTATTGGTCATTCATTCTTAAATATTTATATTACTATAGGTACTGAATTTCAGTGAATATGTTATATTAAAATGAATACGTTTTTTTGGGCAAAAATGGCACACCCCTATACCAAAAAAATATCGAAGTAAACCCGGCTCCCCGCCCCAGGAGTAAACCTTAGGAGTTATGTAAAGTATCTATTTTTGGCACTATTCTTTTAATATTTATGTATAATTATCCTATGCATGCACAGCATTTAGTAATCATTAATAGTCTGATGGATAACTGGAAATCACAAGAAGAAGTAAGAAGGGTTCACAATGTGCAGAGACATGAAAGAGCATAGTCCGAGATTACTCTGACGTCCAACGGCTGTTTTGCCAGACAAGCTGGGGCCATGTCTGGCAAAACAGCCGTTGGACGTCAGAGTAATCTCGGACTAGAAAGAGCATGGGCACACTCGAGATCTCTACATGAGGCATCAAATCATTGAAATGTAATGTCCATATTCTGACTGAATGGCTGGGTACTTGTATATTTTGCATAGCCAAACCGATGCCCCACAGTGACGGATCCAGAAATTTTCATAAGTGGGGGCCCCGCTCCGGTCATGCTTCAGTGATTCTCTATATAATATACCAAATTTTTCCCAGAAAAGGGGTGGCCCGGACCCCCTGGGCCCCTCTAAATCCGCCTCTGCCCCACTTTTGGCAAGTGTTTTACTGCCGGGTGGAAAGGCGAGAGAAGCTCTACTGTGATAGTCGAGTTTGGCCAACTCCTGAGGCTGTGAATACACGGACACTTTCTACAACAAAAAATCCTGTTCTGGATAAAACTCAAATTAACCCTATTAGATAAAACAAGTTTCTTTTCTATGGCATGTCATTTCAAATCGTTTTACACAATCATACCGGTCTACTCGAATCGAGGATCCGCCGAGTTCTGCCTCAATTCTTTGGTCAAACCAGAGACTTAATATGATGGTTATAGATGCATGTTGAACGATGAAATCTTCTCTTCCTATCTTTATTCACAAATGTATTTTCGTAAAGTGATTACAAGAAGTTTTCAATAATCACCAAACTAAACTTGACATTCCGATACTGTGCAACATTTAAAACTTGATATTCATACTGCGTAACATAACTAGACCATATGTTATTTATAAAGAAAGAATAAAACCTACCTTATAGATGAAATTTTCCAAAAAAAATGTTATATGTGTGAACAGCCGTTCAGTGTAACGTGTTAGCTAGAACATCAAAATGGCTTCACCTGCAACAGTTGAAAAATTAGAACAACGTTAGAAAATCCCGCCAATAGTAGCCAATGAAAAACAGAATACATGTGGTGCAATGAACCATGAAGGAAGGGGGTTTACCTTAATTTAATTAATTTACTTAATTGGAAAAAAAAATAGAAAATAGAGAAAAATGGGCAAAGGTGAAACAGAATAAAGAATAATGGAGTGCTAAAATATAAACTGAATAATTGGAAAAATTGGGAAAATTAAAGAATTGGATAAAATTATACCGATTACAGAAAAGAACATGAACCTGAACATGAATAACTGCAAAAATTAAAGAATTGGGTTAAAATATACTGATTACAGAAAAGAGCAAAGTCCAGAATACAGTTATCAATTAATTAATTTTTAAAAAGATAAAGAATAATGAGCGAATGATTAAAAAAATGAGCGAAGAATACAGAATGAAGGATCCGGCTTATTCAGGGGCGGATCAGGAAATTTTCATAAGGGGAGCCCACCGACTGCCTAAGAGGGCCCCGGTCCAGTCATGCTTCAGAGATTCCCTATATAGTCAACCAAATTTTTCCCACAAAAGGGGGGGGGGGGCTCGGAGTCCTCCTCCAAGTCCGTCTCTGTTATTAATACCCTTGTAAAGGCTACTTTTTACAGTAAAACAAAAATTATCAAAAACACGAGATTATTATTGGAGAAGTGCTTCGAAATATTTACACCAGTTTTTGTATACTAGAAAAGACTTCGTTACCACTATTTCTTAGATATCGGTTGATTTTATTTGGGCTTCTGTCGGAGTTACCGAGTTAATTGTGACCGTAAATTATAAAGAATCGAATGAAGCATGTATTTAGTTGCTCCGTCCTGGGAATACTTCAAATAACCTATTATGAGCCAAGTGCAACTTCTGATAAAAAAAAATAGTTGAACTTTTTTATAAGGCAAGGAGAAAGAATATATTTTGTCCGCAGCAACACCAAAAATATCACCAGAAAGATAAAACAGTTATAGCGTTTGTTGAACTTTTATATTTCATCACAGGGTTGTCATTAAAGAAACAAATACTTAGTGTTCAAGTGTAAGAGATAAATTAGGGCGGACAAATGATACCATTATAAAATGTACATCCATGGTTAAAGAATTTACTAGTATATTTAGTCGCGAGTCCGATGTCAGTAATTTATGTCCCCAGACAAATGTTCGTAAGAATTCATGTTCAGGTCATCAATATTTCAAGGTAAAAACGTCCATGTCCTTTATTTTACTCAGAAAATGTGAAATTAAAGAAATCATTTACATGTTAACAATGGAGTTTTTAATTCTTAATATGTTTTTATGTTCTGTAACAGTTGTGCATTAATCTTTTAATCAGTCAGGATTCGACTCGGCTTCGTCAAAAATATCTCCCAATTACGCCAGCCAATTTGTACAATCGTTAACGTGGAAGCCATTATACGGATGACGCGCTGCCAATTTAGCTCTTGAAAACCGACAAATTTATCCACATAGCCCCATAACGACCCTTACATGCAAGTTGTATTTTAAAAGACATGTGTATATCTATTAGCTATTGAGCATCATTTAATGTACTTCTGCATTTAGTCAACTTAAAAATTATTGTCTAATCGGTTGTCAGGTGTAATTTTCGAAAGTTCGAAAACATTTAAAAAAATTTAACTAAATATTTCGTGGAAGGGCAGACTAAACATTTTCAAAGGTTGAAGACTTATAACCCTAGATAACTCACACATAAATAAAGTTTTTTTGAAGTCATGCATTTCAAAGATCCACTTGAAAAGTCTGTCGATAAGCATTTTAGTCAAAATTTGTTATTCGAACACACCTACTCTGTTTTTATGACTCATCGGAAAGGTATTTCACCTGACCCACATATTTCATTTTAGTACTGTGATTTTTTATTGATATTAAAGTCAACCTGTAGCCTCAAATATAAAACTAATAAAATATGATGCGCGATCATGTATCAAATATATTTGCTTTATAACTTTCAAGACAGAATGGTAAACTCAAACACGCCTTAACAAAGAAAGGTGCACTCGACTTTCTCTTTTTTGATGAAAGTTTTGCTCCTTTTTAGGATTTTTTTTTCAAAAAAAAAACTGTCGCCGGGGCAGAGATGCAAATAAAGGATGTATTCTTCTGATGTTTCGTCACGTTGAAATCTCTTTCGGGATTTCTTTTCCAAAACATGTGATACAAGTGGAAAATATCAATGAATTTAAAAAAAATATTATAATCAAACTGATCTATGTGAAAAATTGTGTTCTAAAAATAAGTAGTTTTTGAGATATATATTTTGTTTAATTTCAATAAGCAATCCGGTTAGTGTGATTAGCCAAAATGTTGAGAAAAATTGGTGAAGTGTACAAAGAAGTGATTTTATCAAAAATATGTACATCCCATGTCATTCTTTTCATTCCAAATTCTTAGATATGTATTTTTCAATCATTCATTACAAAGAAGTTGATATTATATGCTTTTTGTTAGAAATAATAATCTTAAATTTTAAAAATTTACAGCATGGTCAATTTGACACGAAAAAGCAACTAAATTTTATAAACTTTCTTATATTCAATTCAATTCAAATCAAATTCTTTATTTAACCTCGGACACATTAAGTGTACAAGAGGACAATAAACTAACATCGTATACATAAATGATGGCAGGCGAGACCGACAAAATACAGAGAAAACACAGTAAAATCGAACATATGATATCATGCTTCAACACACTATTGAAATTCAATCTGACACATGTTTTTTTCTTAAAAATACTTCGAGATTTTTTTCGGGGACAATGACAGGTTTATGTATAGTCGAACATGACATAAAGATAACATATTTTTCATTTTTATCTCACTTGGATTTGTACTATAGTAACTAGGTACATATGTTTTTCTAAGTTTTACAAATGGTGGAAATACACATTGGAATAAATAATGAAATTCATTCCCGATTCCGTTTTTGCAAAGGTTACAAATTCTATTCTCTTTAGGTATCCCGGCCCATCTTCCAGTTTCTATAGGAAATCTAATATTTGCACATCTCAATTTAGTAATGAAAACCCTTTCATGTTCCTCGAGATTCATCAAATATTTTTATAATTCAAACTTGTTTTTGAATAGAGAATAGAAGTCTCCCCTTGGAGAATTTTGAATCTGCGATACCCAATGCTGAATGAATTGATCGGTTAGTCTTTATCTTATATTTAATTTAAGCTGGTTTTTATCTATATGTACCTGGTTACTCCTTGAACAAAACTCAATCCATATTCGTCCAAAGTAGATTTTATGTACGAAATCCATTTGAACTTTTTAGAACTAGTTTTATGTAATTCAAACATTAATTTATACATAATTGTTGATAATTTATGATCATTTAGCAATAAATTATTCCAAAAAGACCACATTATATTTTGTTTTATTACAAGTCTAAAGGATATCTCCCAGTTTCACCCTAAACCATGTAGTTAGGTGTGGTGTTTCTAAGTTTCAGGATTTTTTTTGCAAAATTGAAGATGCATTTTTCTATACAATTTTTATTTTCAAAACCCCATACTTCAGCTGAATATAACAAAACTGGAACAACAAGACAAACAAAACGTTTAAATTGTAAATCAATAGGTACACTGATACTTTGTATTTTATAGAATAAGGCATAAAGTGCCTACTGAGCTTGATCATGTAATTTCTTTCTAGCAGTTGGAAAAGTTCCATTGTAATTAAACATGACCCCTAGGTATGAATATGAATCCACTGTTTCTATAATTTGATCATTAATCTTAAATGCATTACAATTCTTCATCTTTCTTTTACTAAAAACCACTACCTTTGTTTTACCAATGTTAACTTTTAGTTTCCATATATTACAATATTTCTCAAATGATTCCAATGCTTTTTGTAAACCTTCAGGCGTTTCAGACATGATGACAGTATCGTCAGCATACAATATCAAGAACAGTTTGATATAAAGCAATAATTTTTTTAAACATAAATCTGAGATATTTTCTAGACAGTCTACATTATTATCCACAAAAAAGTCTTCTAGGTCGTTCAGATAAATTGAAAACAAAAATGGTGACAAATTTTCTCCTTGCCTTACACCAATCTCACAGTTGAATATGTCCGAGGACTCTTTACCAAGATTGACTGTGTCTAAATTTTGGTACATATTATATATAACAGCTGGAATTTTACCCCTGATACCAGATTTTTGCAAATTTATTCCACAGCCCTAGTCTCCAAATGGTGTCAAAAGCAGACTTAAAATCAACGAATGTACAATAAAGTTTCCCGCCTAATGAAAAGTAAATAATGACTAGGGCGTACAAGACAAATATGTTATCAATAGTTGAGTGTCCTTTAGGAAAACCAACCTGTGAGCTTGAAATAAGGGAGATACAATCTGATAGTTTACCAAGTCTATTACTTTAGGATAGACGAAAATAATTTGTTGAAACAAGAATTTAAGGTAATACCCCTGTAACAATTTAGGTCCGACCTTGTACCCTTGTTTTTGAATATTGGCACTAATATTCCAGCATCCCATTTTTCACATTTCATATTAACACGATCTATAATTCGTTTTTTAAAGCTAGATTATTCAGATTGGTTCACTTCGTCTTTTATAGTCAAAGAATGAACAAAAGTTTAATTTTATAACTTTTATTTTTTTCATGACAATAGCCCAAAAATGGGTAAAAATTGATGACAAATGGCGAAATCATAAAAATGGGGTATTTCAAATGGCCGAAGCAAAATAAGACGTGCACCACCATATGAGCTATTCCTTCATCAATTACTTTTTTTTACAGTAACATAAATAAAAAAAGCTCAGGTAAAGAAAAAAAGTTTAATTCTAGAAATGTTTGGCTCCTCAGAGGTGTCCATCCTTATTGCTTTAAACAGATCAATTTATTCTCTTTCTGTGAATTTTTTTCGGCGGAATTTCTGCTTATACACAATCGACTGTTTTATGAAAATGTGTCTATGATT